GAACGTCGTCGAAGTAACCAAGACACTCTGTATATGATAATCCTTCTAATACCTTATTCATCAATCGTTGAAACTCAAAAGGTGCACAAGCTAAACCCATTGGTAAGCGCTTGTACTGAAATTTACCATCAGGGGTAACGAATACAGTTTTAGTTCGTTCACTTGGAGGGATTTCAATCTGAAAGTATCCTTGGTACAAATCAAACATATTAAAGTAAATTGCACCTCTTACCGCCTCAAGGCAATCATCGATCCTTGGCATTGGATGAAAAATGACTTTAGTCATTCGATTAACGGCACGTAAATCATTTAATAGTCTATAAGATCCATCAGGTTTACTTATTAATAGAGCTGGAGAACCTCCTTCGGCTGTTGATATTTCAACAATATCATTATCAATAAGATCTTGAATAACTTTCTGATATTCTTTTCGAATGTTAATTGTACATGGGTAAGGCTTTTGGTAGGGAATTGAATTGTCTCCAATATCGATTTGAATCGGCCACTTTTCCCACGGGACAAACCCAATATCTCCACGATGTTGACTAAAAACTTCAGGAAATTCGAGAAGAATATTTAATAATTCATAAACTTGTTCATTGTTAAGTTTAGAATCAAATCTCTTTTTTAATCTCTCTTCAAGAGATAGAATTGGTTGATCATTTTGAGTGAGATAAACAGGAATTATATTTTCAAATTCATTTGAATTCACCATCATTTCCATGAAAGCATTAACTTCGTACTTTCTGACCAACTCTTCATCTTTATAAGGTGTATATGGTAAATGAGCTAAACCATCAACTTGAATTGATTTAGTTTTAACTTCAGGTAGAGTCACATTAGTAGGAGTTTCAGGGCGAGAAAGGAGATGAATTGATTCATCAGCTGAACAAAAACGAAACATTAATTCAGGACTCAAAGGTTGACTAAAGTTAAACTCTTGTAAAGTTACTTCATATGAACCACCAGAATTTTTCAAATTTGCATGAAAAATGTCACAAAAACGATTACCAACGACCATCACTGGTTCCAAATCTCTTATCACCTGAAATTTCAAAGCTTTACAAAGTTTCATCGTTGGATGTTTCATGAAAAAGCAGCACCTTCGACTTGAAGTCGATTACTACAAATTCCCTTTATCGTTACATCTGAGGCCATTATATAAGCTTTCAATTGAAGAGCTAAATAGTAATCAATACATGCAGTGTTAGCTCCAGTGTCGATTAACACTTCACCTCTTTTATATAATTGACGATCAGGATAACATAAAGATAAGGTTACCGTTGGAAAGTTTTTAACTGTTGTATCAATTCGAGTTATCATTTGATTTTCGGTAGTTACAAACATGTAATTATCTTGATTTAAATCAGGAGCTTTACTTGCGGTTGTTGCATCAATTGAATTAGTTTCAATCACCATATTTGAAATTGGTCTTTGTTGAGTAGCATTAACATCACCAATATTAACCATTTGATTGTTTCTCAGATTTGCTGGTTGAAAACGTTGACGAGGTGGAAATCGACAATTTCTTGCCAAATGACCAAAACCATTACAATTGTAACACTTAATTGTCTTACTTTCATTTGATTTCATCTCATTCTGTTGATTAGTAATCTGATTGTTTTGTTGATTAATTTGATGAGGATTTAAATCCGATCGATTCTTGTTGAAACTTTTTTCTCTCTTTTCTTTATCGGCTTTGTTGTAATGCTGATGAATAAGTACCGATGTAATATCATCTAAACTTGAATTAGCTCTTACATCGTACATATGATCACGAACAAATTTAGGTAATCTTTCAAGTACTTCATGAATAAAACCTTCAGGGCTCATCTTATCACCTTTAACCTTATGAACCAACTCTCTTAATCTCCTTATAAAGTTACTTGGATGTTCCTTAAAATCGTATCTCATTGCTGTCAATTCTGCTTGAGCAGTAGCCATTGCTGCAGGATTTTTTAGATACTTTTCCAAAGCTTCGACATAAGATTCATAAGTATGAGATTGTCTATCCAATGTATCAGCAGCTTCAAGAAACTCATAACTCATTGCTTTTTTGAGAACTCGTAATCGTGTATCATTAGTACAATCTTCAAAACTTAATTGTCTTTTAACCGATTGTAACCAACCCCATTGGTCACTTCCTTGTACAAAAGCAGGTAAATTTGGACATTTACTTTCCCTTAATACCACCATTGGTTGTAGTTGAGACTTTCGTCTATTTGTTGAGAAATTATTTTCTTCGAAAACAGGATCATCTTCATTGTCACCTTCAGTTTCAATATACTTTGCTCTGTTAGCACCCAAACTGATTTGACTTCTTCGACTTGATCGTCTTCTTTCACTTTCAACTCTTCTTCAGAATCAGCTAACAACTCACGAATAGTAGCATTTGGTTTGATTGTTGTCTTGAAGTAGTCGGAATTGGTTCCACTTCAGGTTCATTCCATCGTCTTAAAAATGACTCGAGTATTCGCTTAGCTGGTGAACCAATAGACATTTTGGTTATATAACTTAATTTGACCATCGACATTACCGTAGGTTTAATACCAACTCTAAATATAATCTCTCGTATATCAGCTTCAGGAATAAAATTTTCTCTCATTTGATTAACCCAATCAGGAATATCAATACCATCAATTGAATCAGCACTTAATTGATTTAAATCATCCAGATCCAAATCCACGTTTATTAAACTTAATTGCGTTTGAGCAGCTTCTTTAAATTTTATCATCACACAATCATCAGAAACAGGAATCTTAATTTTCCACTCACTTAAATATCTTTTCATCTCTTGTGTGGTTAGATCCAAAATCTTCCCACCGTTACCTTTACCACCGTCGTTTTCTATCACCATGAAATTGTAATAACAATTGTCCATAGATGCAGATCCTGTCGACTGCGCCATTTGAAAGGTTTGAATGAGTCGTTTTGTTACCGAGAACTGATTTACATCAGATTGATAGTTAGACGCACACCTTAGGCCTTTCAAATCCCAAGATTTGGGTTCTTTTTGTGGATCAACACTTATTAACATTTTGATATTACAACTCAATGAATCTAGAATTTTGGTAATTTTCACTTTAAACGTTGTACTTTTGTCGTTGTACCTTAAATATCATTAACTTAAACTTGAATTTAATCACTTTATTAATCTTAAACATTAGAAAAATAGAAAACACATTTTTACTTGATCACTTAGATTAATTCACAATCACTTCTTGTTAAACATTTAACTCAATTTGGTTAATCAATTGATGATGACGATGATATTAATCAAAACTAATGATAATTAAAGGTAAATTGTTACTCTATTTATACCTTAAGAAACGGAAGGAAACTAATTTTAAAGGAAAAGACATTAAGTCGGAAATGGTCAAGTTAGACAATAACAAAAAAAAAGAAAGAGAAAAATGAATAGAAAGAAAAGAAAGAGAGACAACTTGAGGGATCATTATCTCATTGAGATCGTAATAGAAAAAAGAAAGTAAAGAAAAATGAAGAGATTTGAATCTTTTAAATTGTAATTGGAAGAGGGTAAATTTATCCTTTCAATTGACAGATCGGAATCAATAACAATACAATAATCAATTGTATCAATACACTTGAAAATCTTGACAAAAGACTTTGATTGTATGTACATCACTTTAATTGTTATCGAAGCTACGAGATTACGATTACAATCAAATGATAGTTAATTTGCTTTTGTTTTTCTTACCTACAATTATCAATGAGACTTTGATACTTTGATATTGACATTTTCTTAATTTCTAACAATTGGGATTATCCTAATTTGATCACTAATCCCGAAGGCTCAAGTGGATATTTAAATCAGTTGAAAGACTCATAAACCCAATGAGGATATTAATTGTTTGATAGAATCCATTTAAATATCAGTTAATGAAATAAATCTACAAATTAATAGCGATGGTTAATTGTTGTTACTCAATCTGAACAATTAAAATTCATGAATATGAAACTTGGGAAACAAAAATTTCAGCTGATCTCAAGGCGAGAAAGTGTTAATATTAAAATTTGTAAGCTAATTTGATGAACAATTAACACAACGATTATTATTATGATGAAATAATCGAAACTGAATTAAAAGTGAAATTGAAAACTTTTCCGATTGTTGAATTTTATCAACTGCGAATTTTTAACATTAAAAGTTGACCTGAAAACAGGATGAAAACTGTTCAGAATTTTCAAAGTGATTAATTTATTTCTCATCAATTGAAGTCTAATGATTAACTTAATCATTATAATGATGATTAACAAGTAAACTCAATGAAAAGCGAAACAATCACGATCTTTGTTGACTGTTGATTAAAAAAAATACAATGTTAATATGAGTTAACCTGAAAGTTTAAATTTCACCTCAATTTTTTTTGTTCATCTTTTTCATGATAAATCATCAGAACTTTTCATTATTCTAACAAAAACGATTCCTTGTTTTAATTAGGATGAAATTGAAATTATTTCAATTGTTATTCAGCTTGTAAACATTAAAATTTAATTCTTATGATAATATTTACCAAGACCACACCAAGTAAATTGTCATCAACAATTAATTGTTGTTATTATATCAATTGTTGTCTATTTGCTTGATAATTTTAATCACAATTAAGTTAAATTTTTTGTCTCTTTCAAGTAACATTGTCTAACTTTTGATAAAATTAACAATAAACACCCAATTGTATTGTAACCAATGTGAGTTTTATTGTTGTCATTTAAATTGTTACCAATTGAAAACATTTTCAAGGATTTTCATTGAAAATTTCAGGAAACGAATCTTTTTTTTCACATCAATAAGAATACTAATTAAGCTGATTACCCTGCTACTCATCCTTTGGATGATAAACATCCGTTTAGTAACCAAGGTTGAATACTTAGTCTACCTGAGGATATAATTCAGGTATGGGATCAGTTTGGGCTTGGACTTGAGGGTGGACAAAGGAGTGGTCACTTTGTATGTGGAAAAAGAAAAGTATTGTACTTACATCCATAGAGCGAGAAACATTATGGTTACATGGGCTCTTCTCACCGGAGGTGGTGCAACTGAGGGTGGACCTGGAAGGGTCACTGCATTGGAACATCGATTAGAGTAGAGGTCAACCAGGTTTTCTATTCGTTGGCTTGATTCTAGCATGGCTTCTGAAGAGAGATTATCAAGAGTTACAAGGTCAAGATAATAATCTGATGGATTTTTGTAGGTTGGACAAGGAAAATCAATATAAGAGAAATAATTTAAAAGTTCTTTGCGTTTTCCAAAGTAAAGTATTCGTCCAGTTGAAAGAAGGGCTACTTGGGATAACATGGTGAAAATTTCGTAGGTTGGAGGTTGAATGGTTAGGATGACACATCGACCCGAGATCAGTGCCCATTGGCGAAGATATTCAATGAGGAAAAAGGAATCAAAAATGTCCATTCCTTTAGTTGGTTGATCAAGAATAAGTATATCAGTATCCAAGAGAAGAGCTTGACCAATAAGGAGACGTCTTCTTTCCGCTTCCGTTAGGTCAGCTACCGATGTATGGCGAACCTCATTCAGTCCAAGTTCTTCGAGAACGGCATTTGTACGCTTTTTCGTGTCAAAGGTATTCTTTTTGGCAGGACCTTGGACCAGAGATGAAAAGAGGAGAGTTTGTCTTGCCGACATATCTGGACAAAGGTCAGTATCTTGGCCTACATATGAAGTGACTTGGGACAATTTGGCAGGGGTCATAGGAATTCCGTTCAAGGTGATCTCCGATTTAACGCTACCTCGACTTTTATTATATCGATCGGATAAAATTTCCAAAATTGAGGTTCCTTCATATTCTGTTTATTTTTTTATTTCGCCAAAGAAAAAGCAAATTGTAATTAATCAACCATTTAATTAGATGGAACAGATTAATTGTTTCCAAAGTCTTGTCACCAACAACAATCATGAAATCATCATCATCATCACTTCAGGTACGTATTCATGGTAATAAAAAGTTCAAGGTGATAATTTGAAGGTCTCACCATAAGAGTAAATAATATAATCTATCTAAAGAAACAGAATTTTAATTTTCTGTGAATTATATTTTCTATCCATCATCAATTATCTGATCTTTGAATCTCTTGGTGTTCTCATGGGAAAAGTGATTAACAATCAGTTATGAATGAATTTGAATTGACAATTGTTGATGTTTAAAAGTGTATTCATCTTATTAAGAGTGACTTTTGAAACAACATCATTACCATGAAATCACCTTGATGAGAAACAGTTAGTTAATTGTGACATGGGCGAGATTCAGGTTCATGATCATGATCTGAGAATATTGACAAAAATAATTAATTCACTTAGTTAATCATAATTACAGGAAAGTGTTTCAATTAGATTAATTATTAGATTAACTTACACCCAGAATAATGATTAACCTCTCAGAGATTAACTGGTAATTGAATTAATGATGATGATACTTTTATATTCACCCACAACTTTTGATCATCTTCAAGTTCAATCATGATCAAACTCCATTTAAAGAGCTAATCTTTTAATCAACTACCAAACAATTAAACTCTACTCACAATCACAATCAAAATCTTAATCTTCTCACGCAAATGGTTAATTCTTATTAATCATTTCTACCTGAAAAGTTAATTAACCACAACAAAGTAATAGATAGTCAACTAATCAGCTGAAAATCAACCAGTTAATTGTTACTATACTTCAGGTGATCAAAATATAAGTACTTTCTAATAATCAGATAAATAATTGATAATGGTTAGGCTATTGATAACCATTTGATTGTTGGTTAATTAGTAAAAATTGATTGATAACCGTTTGTATATTTAAAGGAAATTTAAAAATAAAAGTTTTAAGACAAAAAATTTCACGATTTTGATAGACAAATGAATATTTAAAATAAGCTAATATTAATGATCAATTAACTAATTACATTAATTGTTGCAAGTTAATTAATGCGGAACACACTCAATTAAACAAGAATTGAAATGTTAATTGTAATGGTCAAAATGAAATAATTGATTATACTGATTTTAAAACAAGAATTCATCATTATTTTGACCATGATGATGAAATGATTATCATGAAAATCAGAGTTAATTGAGTGAATAGAATGAAAAAAAAGCAAGAATTAGATTCACTTTCACCTTAAGGGCAGATAAGTACAGAGTAATTAAGACAAATGATTAACTGTTATTCATTCATTACTATAAGATCCATTGCAAAGAGTTAAATTGTTTCATATTAATACAATTGTATTTATATGAAACAATTTAAATGGTTGTAAAATCAAGATGATTAATACTTTAGGATCAAGAATAAGCTCAATTGTAAATGATTATAATGATTATCATTTTGATGATGGTTCCTGAAGATGATGATGATGATGATGATGAAGTTTCTTTTAGATTCATCATGATGATGAATGAAAAAGGCATGAAAGTTAATTTCTAACACTTTGATAACATAATTAGAAAGTTGAATAAAATTTAGAGCATTAAACTGTTAAATTGTGACTATCATTTAGTTAATTGTTAATTCTTACCGTTAGTTGCCATGATGGCGAGCACTTCACCCGCTTTAACTTCAAAAGCGATGTTATCTAATATTCGGGATTTAGTTCGTTGTGCACCACAGATACGACGAAGTGTTGATGTTTTATCTAATTCATAATAAAGTCCACGGACAATTAGGTGAGGATATTTGGGTGAAGATGAAGGTGATGATAGTCCATTTCCATTGGTCAAAGGTGATTCAGATTCCATGGTGATGAAATTATTATCATAACCATAACTGTTTCCCTTGAAACCATTGGCGATTTTACCGTTAAGACCATAACCATTTCCATTGGTAAGTGGACTATGATTATTGTTATTGATATGGTTCTGATGGTTTGAATAACGAAGGTCAGTTTCACTGACCGCTTTTCCGTTAGCGGTTAAATAGGGTGGGGATGATCCAAGGTGAGATGAATATTTATTTGATGATATTACTGATGGTTGACCACTTCGTTGTTTATTTAATCTGTATTGATGTTGGAGGATGGAGGATTATGATGATGGTGATGATTAGGATGATGACTTTGATTATGATGATGTGAACTCTCAATTCCTGACTCATTGTCACCTCTAAGAAGATCTGGATCACTTTTCCAGGGTCGACGGACATTTTTACGCTTGTTACCATTAGATGAAGGTTGACCTGTCCCTGGACGGCCAATGTCAACCTCATCTTCATCTTCCTCCCCACCAACAACATCAACATCATCATCATCTGATATTGAAGCAGAATCAGATGTTAACGGGTGCCCATAAGCGTGTTTATTTCTTGGATTAATTTGCTGTTGTTGTTGTTGTTGTTGTGTATGTGAGTGATGTCGCTGTTTAAGATGATGATGACCTGATGGCCGATCACTTATTGGACCACCGATGACACTTGCCCCACCAAGTCGAGATCGTCTATCATCATCCCTACCAACACCTCCCAATTCCGATTGGGCAACTTTAGCCCTTGGTAAACCATACCGAAGGTAAGTGGCCGGATCATGATCACGAAGTCGTGGACCATATTTAGGATGATTAAGTATATTCTTGACCGTTGTCTCTTTTAACTGGAAATTGCCGAAGGGTCGTTCGGTATTCGAGCTTTTATTTATTCCAATTGCCGATTCTGATAGATCAGCATTCAAATTTTGCCGATAAATGGACCAGGCATGAAGATCCTCCGTGTTATCATAACCACGGTTACCATAACCTCCTCCGATCCCACCGTTAGGCCATTGACCTATTATCGTTGATGGACCAATACCCGATCCATTGTCTTTGTTGATATTATTATTGTTGTTGTTAACACTATTGTTGTTATTGCTATTCCCGTGCGGTGCAACGTATTTACGTGAATCACGGTCGTCCCACATTGATTACAATTTAATTCACAATTTAACAATTTATTGTGTGATCACTTATCCAAAAAAACAATTAGATTCAAAATAAAACAACTATAAAAGGAGATCACTATTGGTGTTGGCTTCGTATATTGGATGTGATATATTGGATTAATTGTTGTTGTCACCAAATATGTTAATCATCTCATTGTGATTAATCCAATTGTTTTTATTCAATGTTGTCAATTTATCTGTAAAGAAAGTGAATAAAATGAGTAAATTAAACTTGCAATTGTAACAATTAACTTTTCTTCCACTTTTCTTTCATCCAAACTCTCATTTCGTTGTTTCAACTTATCACAATCGTTGTTGATTAATAGTAAACAAATGATGAAAAAGTGTCAACTAAGTTTGATGAAAATTGCGTGAGTGTCAATTTTAGCACTTCTAATACAAATTTGACGCTAAGTTGCGTGTGAAGATACATGATAACAACAATCAATTCTAACAATCAACAATTAACAAGTTGATCAGTAAAGTGAAAGTTATTAAATGTTGTGCCTATGAACAGTAAGAGTGAAAGAAAAAAGTTTGAAAATTGTTTTGTCATCAACGAAATTAAATTGTTTTGCAAAGTTAATCAAATTGCTGATTATTGTTGATAATTATTATTAAATTACCGGAAATCAAATATAAACCCAATCAGTTGAATAAAAGTGTCGATTGTGTTGATCACAATTTAGCTAATTGGTGACAATTAAAAGGTAAAATCTTGAAAAGGGTCAACATTGGAAAAGTTAATTGTGATTGTAAGGCTACGATGAATTCACTGGATTAACACTAATATCTAATCATGAAGAGTTTTAATCTCATTGATTATCAATATAATCATGATTTCAATTTAACTTTTTCTTTTTGATTGAAAATAAAATAAGGTCAAAAAGTGATTAAATTGTGAAAGGTTATCAACAATTTAATCATGAAAAAAATAGACTTGATCATCACCTTAAGCCTATCATCATCTTGAGATAATGATTAAGATGATAAGTTGATGATGATTATGTTGAAATCATCAAAATGGACCATCATCATTATTATAATCACAATTGATTTGATTATAATCAATGAGGAAAAAAAATTAACGGATAATCTGAAATCTATTAATATTTACACACCTTTAGCTATTTTTTGATTGTGATTATCAAATTGTTTTGATGAATCAATTTAATATAATAAGAAAAATTAATTCACAATTATATTTATGAATTAAATAAGAGCCATTAATCTGATGATTTAGGTTTAGCACCCAATCATCATTAAATTGACACAATTGAATTTAAGGTTTGGTCAATCAATTACATTTATAATCATAATTAACTTAATCAACTTGTCATCGTCATTTAATGATTACTATTAATGGAGAGAGAGAGAGAAAGTCAAGTTTTATTCATGATTAACTTTAATTGTACACTCAATTCATTGATTGTTGTTATGATTAACGAAAAATAGCTTAATGATAGTTAATTGTGACGGAATCAGCTGATTGTCATCATATTATTTACCTGTGATTGTTAGTGATTTATTTTGATTGTCATTGTTACATAAAAACACAGATAAAGATCATGTTGATTATCAACAAGTTAATTACACGGTAATGGTATTTAAAATTACTGTCAATCAATTGTAAATTACCAACAATTAAAATTGAGATTATAATCTTTCAAGACTATGTTTCAATTCATTTCCTAGTTAACTACAATTAACCATTATAAGTTTTTGATTATAATCAAAATGCAAGACAAACCTATCGATACATAAAAGTTAACCAGTAGTTAATTTATGATTTAAAAAAAAAGTATTAATCCTCATATGATTAAATCAATTGTTAATTGTTGACGGTTAAAGTCAACCTGAATCAATCAAAATTCAATTTGATTGACCAAACCTTGATTTCTGTTATGTACCGTTCACAATTAAAATTAATTGGGTTGATTAGTTTGAGGTTTTGTTTTGATATTTTCGCGATTGTTTCATAATGAAAATTAAAAAAAAAATTAGTCTAAATAAACAATTAAATCACGAAAATGATACGATCTATTTGATGATAATAATAGTAATCATCTCAATAACAATTAACGATAATCCATCTCAAAGATATTAAATCATCCAGATGATTAATTGTCATCATTAGTTGATCATCAGAAGGAAAATTTTCTTCATTAATCAAACTGGTCACAATTAGAGATTCAATTGAGGTAACAATTAGTTTTTATTATAATCAATGAAGAAAGGTGAAAGTTATTACAATTAAATTAATCTCAAACAATACACAAATAAATAAACATATAAATATGTGTAGTTAATTTGATTATGTAATTATTATTATTTGTTCTGATTAAGTTGATTATTGTTATTAAACAATCAAAATTCATCTACAATTGTTGATGATGATGAACCATAATAATGAAAAATGATTATCTCAATCAGAAACCATTGATTATAATACAATTTCTCACGATGTTTACCTTTAACACTTAATTCATTAAACAATTTGATTATCATCTAATCTTGCGGAAGTTTAATTATACTAAATTATTACAATTATCAAACTAAAAACTACAACAATTGTAATATATCAATGGCTACTTACGATTGACCTTATTCACAGAATCATCACTAATCAAGATGATTAAACTTTCTCTCACTTCATCACTGGATTTAAATTTAATATTTCATTTTGTTGATCAAAATGGTCAACATCAATTGATTGATATTGATTATCAATCAACCCAATCAAAGTGTAACCTTTAACACAATGATCAGGTAACAATTAGCTAAATTGTTGGTCAAACATTGAGATAATCATTAAATTGTATTAACACTAAATATATGTTACACTGATCATATTTATTGATTACTCTTCCTGGTTTTTTTTTATCAAATTAAGAAGAAGAAAAAAAAATTTAACCTCACGATTAGTTGATTATGTTTTGATCACAATTAACTAACTTTAATCGTGATTGTAACATCTTTTTAACTATCACACACAACGATATTGATCACAACAATCAAGAGTAAATTATCAACTTGACTACGATGTTTATTTAATACTTTTCTCAATCTATTATACAATCATCATCTTTTTTTTTCTTAATTATGATTAAATCACTTTCTTTGGCGCCAATTCTCACAATTAACGGTTAATTAATCCACCTCAAGTTACATAAAGCAATTTATCATGTTTCCCGAATCATCATAAGCAAATAGATCACATTGAAAATGAGTAAAATGCCTTCAGGCGTTGAGATCGTGAAGTTGTTGACTTGATTAAATTGCAACAATTTATCATAGAAAAGTTAACTTTTTCCTTAATCCAGTTATTTGATCAACAGTAGTAGTAGTAAGTAATTAACTCGAGTAGTTGGTGGATTAGAAAACAGTTTGAAAATTGATTATTTCAATCAATAAAACTGATCAATCAATTAAAAGGTAAAATAATTAAATATTAATACATGAAACATGTTAATCATTATGTCACATAAATGACAATAAAAGTTGTTTACACAATTAACCAAAATGTTTAGATTGATCATCTCGATTTGATTTAATTGCGTGAGTGTATTTTAATCACTCAGCTCTTATTAATTGTTGATTATTAATAAGAAGAAAATTTTTTACACCAAACTAACTAAATAAGGACTGAATAAATTCAATAGCAAAGAATAACAATCAAAAACTGTGCCAAGGTTTTGGATCATGATTAAGATTATGATGAATGATTTTCTGTCTTCATCATCGTGAAGATCATCAATATCACCATGATCATCATGAATCAGAACAAAAATTTTGTAGAAAAAAAAAGAAATTCAGTTTTCCCTTTCAAAATTAACTAAATTCCAATTGCTACACAATAGCAAATCTAATTAACCTTGAACTGTTACAATTAAATTGGACAATAATCGTTAATCATCATTTCTGCACCGGTAATTGTAATTATAACCACAAGATTAGCTAACAATCAATTCAATCATCATTAGATTTCATGATGATTTTCATTTCTTATCAAATTGTATCAAAATTAGGATTAATTTTGATTAGAGGGGAAAGCGAAAACAAATTATTCCAATCAACAATTAACAGATTAAATTGTTTTCCATCAACGATTAACTATAATAATCAATAACAAAGCTTGACCATTGTGACGATTATTAAATTAAACAATTATTATTAAATCTATCAACGGACATTTTGTAAGAATATAACCTTGATCAATGTGATTTAATTGAATTAAATTGTAGCTTAATCATTTCAGTAAAAAATTAAGAAATGTTTCCATACAAAAATGAGAAAATAACTGTAATTAGTTTACCTTGAATTATAATCAACGAAACAATTTCGTTACAACGAAATCAGATCTTGATTGTTAACAATTGTTGAGATATTAATCATGTTAATCAAAATGACCTTTGAAAATGATTAACATTCAAATTAGATTGTTATTATTATTATCATGTAGATAAGTTTGATTATCATCAGCGAGTTGATTTGATTTTTATTATAATATCAATGGTTTCAAGTAATAACAACCGGAAGTTTATGTGATGATGAAAAATTGAGTTGATGACAATTTAAATGATCAACAAATTAATTTAAATAAACAAAAAGAAAACGAAAAAGTTAATTTTGTTTCCTCTTCAGTTGTTTATACTCTTTAGTAGTTGTTATTATCATGGTAATGATGAGGATGAAAAGTCATCAACTATAAGCATCTGTTGATTGTATGAAACCAACAACAACAGAAACTTAATTCTGTTTGCAATTTAAATCAAATTGCAGTAATTAACTGTTATCATTATGATTAAGACAGATGAAGATAGTAATAATTTGATGCTTTAAATGTAAGATATAAAAAGGTAACAATTTAATACAGTCTTCACCTTAATCATGTCCAAGATTAAAGTAGCTTTGTTTTTAATTTCTGTTTAATCAAATCAAGTTAATCACTTTTTTTTTCATTTAGTTTCATCAGTAAATTGCTCATATGAAACTCATCATTAAAGCTTCCTGATTATTATCCTGCAAACCATTTGGATGCAACAATTTGCTGATTGTTGATGAAACAATTTTTATGATCTCAACCAACATAATCACTAATTGTTAGTGTTTAATGGGTAATAACAATTTACTAATTCAATTCACACAAACTAATTGCTCAACCTCATCTCAGATATTGATTATTGATGACCATCAATAAATTGCTGACTAAACAATGAGTTTGAAATGCTTAATTGTTAATGACTTTTTCATCTCAGTGGCAAATTAAATTTAATCGAGTGTCAATTTAATTACAAGCCGATTGTTGAGTTAATTGTCAGTAAATTTTGACCAAAGTTTAAAGCTTAAGCTCTAGTTTAGTGTTAACATTATGAACCGACGATCCATTGACTGGTTAATGACAGAATAGCAATTTGATTATTGTAATTAAGTTGCTCATAGTTGTTGATGGTGATTATTATTATTAGAGATGAGAAATCGAATAAAAAAAAACTAATTTTCACTTCTCAATCAATATCACGCTGGATTAACACGCATCAGTATTTGGGAATCATCGTTAATTTTTTATTCGTGAGCTGCGTGATTAAGATCAACAGGTAAATATCATCAAAATGATAATCATCATTTGAATTATCGTCAAGCTTTGATGATCACTGAATTTTTATCAACAAGAAATTGCACTGTTATCAATAAGATTAAAGTTAATCTACAATCTTGGTCTTAATCATAAATCACTATTACAACTCAACCTCATCATTTTAATATGATGATCTTGAGATTAACTTTCATTTAATTAAAAGGAAAACTGTTCTAATAACAATCAAGTAATCTGATTGAATTTAAGGCTGATAATTATATATAATCTTAATCTATTGCTAATCAAGTTGATCCATGGAAATTCATCTGATTATCTCGTTAATCAAGCAATTAAGATACAAGTACAATCCATTTTTGTCTAATCTAATCAATGGTTGATATAATTGATACTTTAGATTAGGGATTAAGGATTAAGATAATCAATATATTTGAAAGATTATATTGTAGCTCATTTATTGGTCGATTAATAGAATCCATTATTATTCATTTAAGTATAAGATATTTAGACTACTCTAATTAGTCGAAGACTAATTGTTAATATTTATTGTAATAGTAAAGTTGATTGTCATCACTATCAATCAACAAGCATTGGAATTAAAATTAAATAAGCAAATCAAAATGCGTGCAAACATTTATATTAATAAATACATCGATTGATTTAATTGACAATTAAGGAAAAATGTGAATTAATCACAATCAATTGAGGCCAATCACTAAAATATAAATGAAAAATTAATATGATTACAATAGTTAATCATTAGAATACATTTTTTAATTGTTGTATTAATAATAAAATAACATCAAGAGAAGTGAAAAAAAATTAAGTCAACCCAAATTAGAATCAGTTGATTTATTTGAAACAAATTGTAAATTGTAAATTAATGAGTTAACCAAATTAAAGTTAAGGTGATAATCAATGAGACAATTAACTGTCAACACCAATTGATTGATTTATGAGTCTACATAATCAATCAATTAGGTATTGGACCAATGATTTAAACCAGTTTAGATCACAATTAGAGGAAAACAATAAATTTAATCAGTTGAATTGATTTTAATTAATTATCATGATGATTTAAACATTTGAATGATTAAGTTTAATGATGGTTGAAAATGGTTGAGCTGGAAAAGTAATAATTAACAATCGTGATCAGGTGAAATTAAAGTTACATGAATTTGAATACTTTTTTTTACTGGAAAAAAATGTATATACAGGTAACTGAATATTCATGTAACTCTGATTACAGGTAATGAACGTGTCAACATGATAGAATCTGAGAAATATAATTTCATTACCATGGTACGTGGTGAAAACGATAAGGATACTAAATATAATTGAGTAAAAAAGGACTAATGATGGTGAATAATTAAGATGATAAATTGTTAATTGTGTTGACAGTGGATCCATATTCAGGGTAAATGTTTATGGTGAAAAGATTTTCAAATGAATAGAAAAACTTTTCTAATTGGAAACATTATTATTAACATTTCAATAAATGTTGGGATTAAATTGTTTGGATTAATAATAGATTATTGTTGTTATTGAAGATTAGACATAAATGATTATCTCTCTCTCTCTCTTTGATTGACCTCGTATTTATCTCAATTTTCAGGGCTTACTGATTTCTCAGAATTGTTCATTATAGTTTTTCATTATTAGCATAAGTTCAAGTTCAGAATTATCTTCATTATTATCATGAATAAATATGAAATCTTTTCAGTTTGATGCTCATTAACTTATGAATATTAAGATGAACCATCATTATCATCAATTATCATCTTTTATCATGGTTACGATGTCTTTTCAGTAGCCTGGTTAAGATGAGAATCCGTTGAAATTGAAAGAATCATGAAAAAAAAAGAGATGAAACAATTTCACTTTGGGAAAACAATTTCATTGTACTTTCAATGTTTACTAATTGTTGTCATTTAGAGTTAATTGCCAGAAAAGGTATATTTAATCACCTTTACTAATTGATAAATTTCTTAATGATTAACTCTTTTAATGAATTTAATCATTAACATCATCGTTTTCTTTTTCATTGTTAATTGACTGTTGACATATTTTCATTAGCAATCAACCAATAGTACTAATTGATTAATTGCTATTTTTAAATCTATTGTCATATTAAAAGATTAGCTAATTGTTAATGGTTGTGACAATATGTATATGTTAATATATGGTAATGATTATGTCTTAATTGTTACAATCTTTTGATTGTGAATATATTATATATGTTTTAAGATTATTCAACTTTTTGATGGACACATTAGTTAATGTTAAGGATTGTTGATCATTGAGAATTTACATTTTGGGTAATAAATTGTTTGGTTAATTGTGAATCTTAATTGTGGTTGTGTTATTGATGATGATGATGTAAATTAAGAGGATAAACAGGACATTGGACTTAAAGATGAAGAGAAAGTGATGATGAAAGATGATGGATGATGTGTATTCATTTGAATAGTTGATTCGGTTGATGGTTGAATTTTAGAATTGAAATTCAACAATCAATCGATTGATTGAACATTTTTACAAATTGACCTTTTACTTCAAATCTAATCAATGATTGATCGCAATTATTGATTGTTAATTATCATTGGTGATACTTAACACATCAAACAATTCAAGTTAAACCTTTAATTACTATTTGAAATATTGTCTTGATTAGAATCAACAATTGATTTAAAGGCTGAGTAATAAGATAGAAATTGATTATTATTAAATCATGTTGTTACTTCCGTAAAAATATCATTTGATTTACTTACATTTTCTAAATCAATAATCTTTCATTATGAATATTATTATTGATTAAACTAATTCAATTCTCTTTCAAATTAAAATAAATGTAATAATTAGACGGGTTCCCAATCAAAATGATCACAATAAGATGATGATAATTATGATCCTTTCATTTTTGACATGATGTTGGTTTTAACAGATTAGCAGGTAAGAAAAAGAGTTGATACCATTTAATTAATTTCTTTCTCTCTCTCTCCTAATCAAAGATTATCAAGTAAAAATGAAACAAATCTCATTCTCAATGATTTTGGATTATCATTTTGGTTTCGATTGTTTCTTTTCCGGTTAATCCTTACATCATTCGGAATACTGTCAAAATGTCACCGGTGTTTGTATACATGGTGAATGTAAAAATATTTTGAATGTGAAAAAAAAAACTATCAAAATGATTAAGGAGGAAAAGGATTATAACTGTTAATAAGTTAAATATCATCATGATGATTAGATTAGATTGATAGGTAATGATGAGAATACAAGTGAATGGAAAACAATTGTCAAACCTTTCAGATTGTCTTTCAAAATTGAGATTTAAAAATATCATTTTCACAGGTAGAAAACAAAAAAGAGAAGGGATTTACTTGATATAAGAAGTTTGGAAGAAGATGAAAAACATCATCAACTGGACTGTTAAAGAATTTAGAGCATTTTTAACAACAACAGTTAAGGGAAAATCTTAACATGAAGAATGGTCAAGAATAAATTAGAAGCTAAATCACAATTTACAATAATCATCATCATGAAGATTTGGTTGTTGATCTTCAATTTGGATTAACAGGCAACGAACATGGAGAGAAGGAGAGAGAGAGAGAGTGAAAAAGAGAGGGAGGAATAACCGAAGAGAAAAGAAATGACCGGAGAAAAGAAAAAAGAAACATGGAGGCAAATAAATTAAAGAGAATTTAGTTTGACTCAGAAAAGCACAAAGATTGTGATAGAAAACAAATGAAACACGTTACTGAATATTCACTAAACCGTAGTAGAATTTGTAGAATTTCTGTTGATTGTTGGTCAACGTGAGAACAAAATACGAACACAATTAGTAAATTACGAGGATTAAATGACAGAATTGGAAGGAGAAAAAGAGAAAAACACCAACATGGTAGAAAAGAATATTTTTGTTCTCTTTTACCGCAGAGCCGCAACGAGAGACACACAACGAGAGAAAGAGGCAAGAGAAAGAGAAAGAAAAAGAATAACAAAAAAAGAATAGAAAAGAAAAAATGAACTTACCATTGGAAGAATTAATCAAATCCTTTTTTCGTTTAATTAAAGTGAACTGATGACTCGAGAGAAGACAAAACAAACCACTGGACACACTGGACACTCCAAAGATAAATTTCTATGAGTAGAATAGAAAAGAAAACAAATAATCTTCACAATAGAAATAAAAACAACCTGTGGAAATGAAGTAACAACATTTTCTCATTTAAAAAAGTAAAGGTAAGGATAAAATGAAGAGAATATTTTTTCATCTGAAAGAGAGAGAAAAAAGAGAGTAAACCTGTTTTTCTCTCTCTCCCGGTAACCTCCTCTCTCTCTCTTTCTTCATGATCTTTTGTACTTTTTCATCTTCCCTCTCATTAATTTCTCTCTCTCTCTCTTTTCTTTCTTACCTGTAGCCCAATCTACCTTTTCGTCTGCTGCTGGTACACTTTGGGAACTTTAGGTTTACCATCAAGTTGCTGTTTATCTTTGAGATGGTAACTTGGTTTTAACCAAATTCTAAATCGTTTTCAACTTTCTGCTTTTCCACTGCTGAACATTTAATGAGAATCACTAATTAACAACGTAGATTGATTGACTTTCTCACTTAAATTGCGAACCATTTTCATACTTGCAAAGGAAACGGAAATCACAATAAAACGTTGGACAAAAACTTCAACATAAGAAAAGGTAAGATTAACTAATTTTTTGTTCCTTTGTTTTGATTTTATTTTTCTCTTCTCTCTTTCACTTTGATGTGTTTTTTTATTGTTCTTTTAACTATCATTGACCAACTGATTGGTGTTTCTTTCGGTGGTCATGATGATGATAAGTAAATTATGTTAAAATTGTTACCTTGAATCTCTAATTGTAATAATTAGTAGTTATCTTGATTGAATGAAAAATCCTCTTCTTATTTACCTTTACATGTTAAGCTTTAAACACTCACTCACTTGTCTAACCTTCCGTTTTAAATTGTGATTTAATTTTGATGATTATCCAAGTGGTATATTGTTTAATAAGGTGTAAGCTAATTGTTGATTATTGTTGTAATCAAATTATTGAAACTGGATCTCAATTAATTGTGTAGGATTTTTGCTTACCTTTTTACTGTTCGGGTTCCAGTTATTGTTATGGTAGCGGTGGCGGTTGTTCAATGGTGGAGGTGGATCAATGATTTGGCTTATTTTTTGTTTACTTTTCTTATGGTGACTTTTTGATTATGATGATGATGATGATGATTACCTGATGGTGGTGACGTTTATGCTAATTGTTATTAATTTTTTTCTGCTCGTTGATTGTTGTTAACAATTTGGTAAACACTTAAATACTACACGATGTAAACACTTTGGTAAACCTTAATACCATAGATGGATTTGGATTGACTTTTCAATCTCAACACTTTGATTGTAAAAACCTTGGCTTAGATTTACCTAAATTTCAACACTAATTTAATTTAATTGTTCATCATCTTCATCCACTTATTGTCACTGATTTTTTGGTTACATGATTTATATAAGTCATTATATCACATCACTAAAACTTATCACATATTTTTGCACCAACGCATTGGGGAAAAAACAATCAACTAAACATGAGAAAGGAGAAAGTCATTAATATGATGATGATGATAAGAACATTGGAACAATCATAATTAATTTGTTACTAATTGTGACGATTAATGATCACCAATTTGCGTTAAACTGATGTCAACAGAATTGATCAACAGTAAATCTTATGGACGATTCTGAGTTTCTGTAAATACTAATTGATTTAACATCATTTTCGCCACGACAATTAGGCGTTTACAGTTATACATAATTAAGAATCACATCATCATCATGATCATCATCTCATGGACACAAATGAATTGGAGACTCCACCAAAAATGATGATCAATTGACTGAAGTAAACAAATCAAGAGGAAGTGTTATGGTTTTGATTGGAGTTGATTTCTTTTCACAGTTTCAAGGAGAAAGTAATTTCATTCACATTAATTAACATCATTAGTTGATGATCTTCATCATTTAACTATATTAACATCAACAGAGGAGAATAATAAACTTTTAATAAGATGATCAATTGTCGAGACAATTAACCAACGTAATCAAGAAAGTGTGGGTTTCCATTGAGAAAAAGTTTCTCTTCAATCTTATTTTATTATTATTCTACCGCCAACAATTAATTTGATTACTTCTCATCATCATCATGTTGATTTAGTTTCTCTTCATTTTCCTTCAGTAATTTTCATTTCAATCAGAGTAATAAACATGATTACATTTAATTTGATCTTGTTGTTTACCAAAATAATCAACAATCATTGATGATTATTGACAAAATTAACTTTCAATTGTTAAACCAGATTTTTTCAGGATTTCATCTCAATCAAAGTGATAATTAATTACTCAGCAATTGTTAACTATTTTGAATCAATTTTGTGTGTTTAATTGTTAATCATCAATATGCCATCAAGTTATTCAACTTCATTAGAAACTGAGATTCCTAATTTGTTTCCAATATTTTTTTCCTCCAAAAAAGTTGCCAAATTTTGGGCTACATTGCCAAAGGTTAATTTAGTTAATCAGTTTTGTTTTAATTGTTAAATTAATTGTTAACCTTTTCTATTCTTGATCAACAGATGAACTATATGAACCCAGGATCTGGTGGATCTCATCCTCAATCTTATCATATGATTGAACTAATTGGTGTTTCTCACACGGGTCCCGTTGTACCGGCCAATAGGGCGACCTTTTGGTCAAGACTGACCGGTTCACTGACGAAAGGCCTAATTTTGAAGGATGTTTCTTTCGAGGTGTATTCGGGTGAAGTGATGGCCATTTTGGGAAGCAAAGGTTCCGGTAAACGTGCATTGATTGATGTTATCGGTCATCGTGTTTCTGGTCAAGGATCGACCAAAGGTCAAATCTTATTGAATGATGTTCCTCTTACCCTGAGACTGTTCCAGGAACAATGTGGCTTCGTCTCTAAACGGACACAACTTATTCCAGGTCTAACGGTTCGTCAAAGTCTCCAATATATGGCCAACATGACGATGAAAACAAGTTCCACCATGAAAAAGACTCGAATCAAACAAGTGATTGCTGATTTAGCTCTAACTGGTTTAGCTAATCGCAAAGTTGAAACTCTTAATCCCTCTGAGGCTAAACGATTGGCGATTGGTCTTCAAATTGTTCGTGATCCATTGCTACTTGTACTCGATGATCCAACTGCCTCACTTGATCCACTTAATACTTATTTCGTCATCTCCATATTATCAAATCACGTTAAAAAATATGGACGAATCGTAATTCTCACTATGGACAAACCAAGATCAGATATTTTCCCTTTTCTCGATCGGGTCACTTACCTTTGTTTAGGTGATATTGTTTACACGGGTTCGACTCGAATGATGATGGACTATTTTCGTAGTATTGGTTTCCCATGTCCCGAATTAGAAAATCCTCTCATGTATTACTGTAAGTACCAATTCGATAGCTAATTAATCCTAATCCTAGGCTTGAACTCTTTTAATCCACCAACTTTAATCCTTCCGTGAATAACTTTCAGTTTGTTGGAATTACTGTTTGATTGTGAGATTTTAATTTCTTTTTCGCTCAACATTATCCTCATAATAATTAACTTGCCAAAATTGATTATAATGGTCAAGTTAAATTACTGATTATATTAATTATTCTGGAAAACCTTGAATGATGATGGTTATTATATAAAAAATTGGATGTACAATCATCTTGTCTAATTCAGTTGAAATTGAAACTGTCAAGTTGATTGAATGATTAAAAACTATGTTTCAAAACAATTAGTTTGTTTTGTTGTTTATTGACCTAAATTTTGATCATACAACTATTGTTTTCTTATCAAATACAAAAGGTTTAATTGTTGATAACATGGTTTTTATTACAAATTGCTTCTTATTGATACCATGAGAAAAATTGAGTTTCTTCACTTTCTATTGTAATTAATTGTCGTCTTGATTTTTTTTTCTCTCTCTTTCTTCAGTATGTTTATCAACAGTTGACAGACGAAGTCGTGATCGATTCATCGAGTCTTCAAGCCAAATCGCTGCTCTTGTTGACAAATTTAAAGTTGAAGGACACGAATACCGTAAATATAGTGGACCAGTTAATGGAACATCGGTAAATGGAACTGGAATGGCTCCGTTAGCACCAAGTATTCCGTTAACCGCTTATGGACGAGCTTCAACCTGGAATGTAACCATGGCTCTAATGGGTCGACAATTTTCGTCTCTATTCACTTGGTCCAATATTGGCCGTCGAATATTTGTCTTACCTCTTTTCTTCCTCCTATTGTACATTTTTCTTCTTCCCAAATTACCCTCACAACAACAATCATTTCAAACTCGATCAGGTCTTTTTCTTAATTGTATAACCGTAATTAACTTTATCACTCCAGCTCTAACAGCTTATTCATTTGCACCACATCGAAATCGTTTCTATGAAGAATCATCTCGACTTTCACTTTACCGTGGTCCGCTTTTCATACTCACCCAAATACTGACCAGTATTCCTTTCAATATGATTACCATCGGCATGTGTGGAAGTCTAATTTACTGGGCAGCCGGACTTCGATACGATTCTTATTATCTCGAAAGATGGGGACTATTTACAGCGATTCTCTGGGCCGTTCATACATTTGCAGGTAAATTGATTCATCTAAATCATGAAAAAATCTTCTTTCTAGCAAAGTGATTAATTAATTCTTCTTCTATTAACAGAACAACACACTGTGGCTTTTCTTTGCTTCATCAAATCACCGTTTACGGCCTCAGTTACAAGTTCAACCTTCTTGAATTTGTACATGATCTTTGGCTGTGCTTTCCTCCGATCAACTCTATCCGCTCCCGAGTGGATGAGTTACCTTGAATTTGGAAACATTTACTATTACGCTTACTGGTCATTCTCATTCCTTGAATTCCATGATAACAATAATCTAACCCAAGCACCCGCTTTATCACCAACAACCAATTTACTTGAAGAATGTCCAATGAATGTTATCCCTGGTAAATGTTTATTCATCAATGGAACTCATTTCCTCTCCCAAAGGTACAAAGAGGGAATCGATGCAAGTAAAAATCTTCTACCCGAATGGTCACTAACACATTACAAAAATTTCGCTCTCAATTTCGTCTTCATCCTTTCATCTTATGCTCTAAATACAATTGTCTACATAATTCCAATCCCTGGTTCGGTTAAATCAAAATTCAGAGATTGAAAAAACAATTTCACCAATCAAATTAATAACTTTCATTTTCTATCCTTCCCAATTCTGTAAATCATATTTTCAACCCTCTTCACCCCCTAAAAATCATTCAATATACTTTTCAAACAATTCACTCAACCCTCGATCCAACAAAAATCAAGGCAAAAGCAATTCTTAATCACCAATCCCATTTAAATTGTAAATAACATCTAATCATTAACAACAAACACTTTGTATAATTATCAATTCCAATCAATATAAAAAATGCTCCCTATCCACTTTTCCCAAACAAAAAAAACAACAAACAATTTCACCTCACACATAAACACACACACAAAACACAATCCAATAAATTAAATTGAATAAAATAATAACATAAAAACTGAACAATTAAAAAGTTGAAATTATAATTAGCAAACTTTTAAAATGTACAGAATTTGCCGCGAAAAGAATCTACTAGCGCCATCTCTTGGTCTCAGATGGAATTTTTTTTCGCAATTTAAATTGAAACTGTAAACATGAGATTGAGATGATTACAGTTATTTGTACATAAGAATTTGTTAATTTTTTTTTATCAATTCAATTGATTTAATTGTCAATTATTTTTTACATTCCAAGTTAAAGTTAATCTGTTACCCTCACATGGAAAAAGGGTCGTACTTGTTAAACTTTATGATCTAAGGTTTAGTGGTGATTTTTGATTTTTTTCTTCTTCTGTTTCTGTGTTGTTACGATTGTCATCATTTAAATGGCTACGGTAAGTAAAACCACTACTAGGAAATGAGTGAATAACAATGGTTAATTTATTGGTTGATTGTTGAAAGAAAGAAAGATTATGTGTATTTGTGTTTTCTCTTTAGAATGTAATTTTATTAGGAAAAGAAAAGTTGACTAATTGAAAATTGTTCTTTTCTCTTTTTGTTTAATTGTAGCCTCCTAAGGTCGCCTTGATGGAGAATACAATGGTTCATTCTGTAGATGAAAGGAAAGGCTGTAGATCTTTACTTTGTGATGCCAGTGGGATTATAATTGCTGAGATGGTTTATAGATGTATGGTTTGTTATTCAATCCATGATTTTATTGGTGATGTGAGTAAACATTATCACACTGTTCATATGAATGATGGAGATGAGGAAACAGGCGATATGACCAATGAGGAGGATAAAGATCAATCAAATCGTAACAGCAACAACAACAACAATAATAATAACAATAAGAGAAACAGTAACCATGTTCACAATCAAAACAACAATAATAGTAACAGCAACAACATCGATAATAATAATAATAATAATAACTATCTATCAGATCATAGCAATAATTGTGACGAATCTTGGGAAATCGACGAAAAGTTTAAGTCCAATTCGCGTAAGTCAACTTACATAGTTAACCTGAGTTAACTTTTCTACCACTCAATCGATAAGTGCAAAAAATACCGTTATCTTTGCATAGGAGAAATAATTAAGGAATCAGCTTCAATCATCTTAATCAATCTCTTACCTCTCACCTTTCTATTATCTTCATCTTCCTCTATCTATCTCTCTCTCTCTCTCTCTTTCTCTTTCATCTTTTCTAATCTCATCGACAGTCTTCATAAAATCTAATTAATCCATAAAATCAATTAACCTCAACCTCTAAAATAATTGTCATAACAAATATCTTATAAAACATTACGTTCTAACATGCTGACCCCACCCTTAATATATAAAGAACAATACTAAAATATTAACACCAATGTTCAAGTATTTAAAACAATTAACCTTTTAACAAATTAATAGCAAAAGAAATAAATACTTTACCAACTAACATTATTAATCTTTTTGTACCTCAGTGTTTTATAAGTTTAATTTCTCTACAATTTAATTGATTAGAGTTGTGTCTGGATCTCTGGTAATCTGAGAATCAACAAATTCTCACATACTAAATACACTAAGCTCTTTTCATTTCCTACTCTCTCTCTCTCTCTTCCTCTTTCTTTCTCATTCTAATATGGTGATTTCTTCTTAATGGTTAATTTTAATTACTCTCTCTTTCTCTTTCTATTACTTGTATCATTTCTCTCTGTCCCTAGTTGCTCATGTGATTTAATGTAATTACTTTTTACTACGTAACTTTAAGCTCTCTTTCTCTCTCTCTCTCACTCTTTTTCTTTCACTGAATCTTTCAATTCTCACTAATTCTGAATTTTCAACAATTTTGCTTTATTTTTTTCTCCTTTTATTTTCTCCCTCTCTCTCTTATCACAATTAGAACCTCACGTTAAATTAAATTGCACTCAATCCAACGCTAATGAAAGTCACTCGAATAGCCCAAATGCATCAGAATCTTGTACTCGAAGTGGCTCAATCCGTTGTCCGGTTTGTTCAAATGTCCGATGTTACACTACCCTTCAACGTCGATATGGTCAATTCACCTGTGTTGCTTGCTATCGATTTTTTAAAGAATTTTTCCTTAAACCTACTCGATTCTATTGTCCCTCTCTTGGTCAATGTCCACTTGACGTTAAATCCAAATGTAAAGCATGTTGGATTTACGCTTGTACCAAGGTAAGCATGTGAAAAGTGTCTCCCTCTCACTCTCACTCTCCCTCTCACTCTCTCATTCTCTATTAATATGTGTCAACAATCAATATTGATAATCTTCATTTCCAACGATTTATCTTGTATATTTGTAATTATCAATATCGGAAAAAAGTTTCTTGATTCCGCTTACTTAATCTCATCAAGTTCTATCGGTGGTTTCAGTTTTCTATCTAATCATTTCCATTTAAATTCGATTATTTTTTCTCTCTCTCTCTCTTTATTAGATCTATCATATTTCTCTCATCACATGATATTTATCTTCCTTTTGGTCTTATTATTATTATTAGAATGGTTTACAGATCGATTTTATATTTCACCTTAATTTAGATTCATTGATTATCTATCAGGAAATTATTTCTACCTGAAAATGACCCAACCTTTCATACAATTAACCATCAAATGTTAACCATTATACGGAAAAATTGATCTTATCAAAAATACACTCAAATCAATTGATGGTTTTTAGCAATTTACTTAATTCAACCCGATTTGAGACTTGTTGATATGAAATTAAATGGTTGTCAATTAACTTTTCCATCGTTTTTGACTTAATTAGTTACAGTCCATTTGAAAATCTATTAATAACTTGATGGAGAATTGGATTTGTTTAATCAATTGTTCACGAAAAATATGAATGGACAACTAATTTCAATTTCTGCCAATTAACTTACAACTTGTTGACATGAATTAAGGTTTTCTAATGAGTCTGTTGATTTGACATTTTCTCTCTCTCTCTCTCTCTCATTTAATCAATTACAGAGCTGTCATAAAATGAATATTAATCAATATGTTTGTATTAAACTGATTGACACATTTAGCAATATATCTAATATTTTTTTTTCTCAATATTCTTATTATCAGATTTACTCGGTTGATGGTCGACGGAAAACAATCCTCGAGGAAAATGCTCCTTTGAAATCCCATGAAAATGAAACTGTTTCTTCATCACCTTGTCCATCAGTAATCACAAATTATCATAACGAAAATAATAAATCAACCAAGTCGAGTCACAATACAGTAAATACAATAAGATATTCCAAGTCTATTGATGAACAGAGTACATCTATCACATCTAATCCAAAGGATTCTAACAGCTTTGGAAATAACATCTCCAACAATCAGTCAACAACCTCCGGGTCTCCAAGTGATTTAAATCCCACCGGTGTCTCTAAAACTTCACCTATCTATGTCTTCAACTGCTCTCGTGGTGATAATTATCCTAATAATAATTCAGAATTAGCTGGTTTATCTGCTTTGAATATGATGAATATATTAAGCTGCGAGGAAGCGGTTCCAGACTGTGATGAGCTGCTGGAGGATATTGCTGAAGATTATAGCAGCATCGACTCACAATTAAATCATTTCCCACCACAAAAGATGATAAAACTCGGAGATGCACCAGATAATAATAATAATAATCTCATATCAAATTGTTTCACTGATCAATTTGATGGACAATTTCCATCACAATTACAGCCACAAGCTCAGACTGCAATCACCTCGACAACGACAGGACCTTTTTCAACTGTCAAAGATGATCCCACCAATGAGAAAAGTACCATTCCAATAATCACTGGAACTCCAATCAGTGTAATTAAAACTAAACCCGATCGACGGAGTAAAGTGCGAGTTAAAAACTGGTGCTGTCTAAAATGTGCCAATTGTCTTGCCGATGATTGTGGAAAGTGTATCAACTGTTTAGATCGTCCCAAATTTGGTGGACCATTTGTAAGAAAGCAACGATGTGTCAATAAAAAGTGCCTTGAGAAAATTCAACCTGATCAACCAAAGTAAACAATCAACCAACAATTAACCATAATAATATAACTTGAGTGCCTTATACATATAAGTCTAATTCCAAAAATGTCAACGAAAGTGCCTTCAAAATCACATAATTTAATCATGAAACAATTTCGATTGTAACAAAAAGAAAAACATTCTAATCAATATTCGGATGCTAAAAGACAATTACCAAATTATTTACGTTCAGAGACAATAATTATACCATTTAGCTCATAATGAGCAGCAAATTTTATTATTACATATGAAACAATAACTTTGGAGCTTCAATTGTTTAATAATTTGAATGAAAAACGACCTTAATTATAGTTATTGTTACCAATTGATTTAGTCATCATTAATAACGATCAATAACCAATTGATCAGCCTTATTGTTAAAAGTTATATTTACAATTCAACTATTATCTAAATTTTTTGTAATGTTTTTCCTAAAATTGACTTTCGATTCATTTTAAATACTTGTATCTGGTCCCTACACACACACATAACAATTAATGCCATAATCTATGATTATCTAATTCCAATGTAATAATTATTTCCTTCTTGGCGCAGCTCTAACGCTTCCAGGTCACTATCAGTGTCCATTTTTGATGTTCCGTCAAAAGCTGACCAGAACTTTTTCTCCTCTCTCTCTCTCATTCCATCTATTGTAAAGAAATGACCCTTACCTTTATCATACAACAATATTATTATTTTGTTTACTTTCTCTCTCTCTCTCTCTCTCTCTATCATTTATACTAATTTCTGTCTAAATCATATATTAATCTTATCACGACAATTTAAATATGTAATCCACAATTATTGATTTTCTGCAGGAAAAAAAACAAATTTACCAATTAATTAACGAATAAAACATTGAATCTATTATAATACGCTTTAGATTAAAGTCTTTGGACACATTTAAATACTCAAAATATAAAAGAGTGACCAATGGTCAGTCGATACAAAGGAAAAGTTTGAAAAGTTTGTTTCGAGCGAGACGGTGACACCTAGTGAGCGAAAAAGTGACTAAACGAATTTAAAGAAAAAGTAAAAACTTTTAATCGTAAAGAGAAATTTATTTACAATTTGAATTGGAAAATTTTTTTTTACTCTCGAACATTTAAATTTGATTGAAGAGAAATTTTTTTAATTCTTTAATCTTAATCACTTTTCTGACCACTGGACACAACTTTGGTTTAAACACCTCAACGGAAGCTGAATAAAAGTTACGAGAGACAAAAAGTTTGCATGACTTAAGTCAATTACTTAACTTTCACTTTTGAAAAGTTAACAAGACAAATCTGGATAATGAGAAAAGGAGATTAATTAAATTAGGGATTAACGTCACCTTTGGTCATAATACCTTTTAGTTTATCTTTGTTGTTTCTGTTGAAATAATTGAAACAGGAAAAACAACCTGAGAGATTCCGAAAGGTAAGTTAGAGAAGAGGAGGAAAAAAAAAGTTCACCATTTTGATTGAGAAAAAGAAATAATTTTTCATCATTTAAATCAAAATAATTAAGATCACTGGACATTGTGAATATCCCCTGATACCTGTAAACGTAATTAAGTTAATCATGATGATGATTTTTCCCAATGATCCACACCAAGGATTAGAAGATGATAAAAACTAATACCCACCTTGAAGATGGTGTAAATTATATTGGTAAGATAATAATAAACTGAAAAGTGATTAATGTTAAATTGCTAATTTAATCAATGGCAGTTAAACATTTTGCCTACCTAATTATTAACAATTAGATAATCACAAAAGGTGAAAAAGTTTAATTCTCTAATAAAAAGTTTCCCTTAATCTTTATGTTTGTTTATTATTATTTATTTGATTAATATTATTATTTACCCAACATAATCTAACAGGACAATTTACCTAATCATCTTAATACGTGCTCTAATCATGTTGAGTAATTAACAGGAGAGAAAAACAATTTAATCACTTTTGTATACAAACAACCTAATTAACTTTAACTTACCTTTACAAATGAAGATATTTTCATATATCAAAAGCTTAATCCCAACAGAATTAGATTAAATCAAAGTGTAAACAACAATTGGATTAATAATAATAATTTGAATGAATGAAAAAAACTTTTTTTCACAAATTAAATTAACTAATATTATAATCTAATAACAATCTGGTCACAATTGTTACACTGGAAAAGCAATCTTAATTTACCTTAATTCGTGATCATCACAATACAATTAACTTTAACAATATGATTCTCATATAATACTAATGATAATAATTAAGAAAAAAAAATCTTTATTAACATTTATCATCAGATTATCAACTCAATGGATTAGCTTGTTTAAAGTTTACCTTTTGTTAGGTGAATTTAATGGTTAATTAATCAAGTATTGATATCGAATGAGAGTAAAAAATTAACTGATTATCACACCAGGGAGATGGAACAAAAAATTGATTCTAATTAATCTGACAAATGATTAGTCTCTCAATTGTCAAGAGATTAAAGTTAATCTCTTTTCTTTTCTCAATCTGATTTCTTGATAAATATAAAAACTTCAACAACAACAACTGACCAATTGATGAAAGAGATTTCAATTGATAGTTTAATGCTGAGAAAATGTTATCATGTTTCTTGACCATCTTATAGGTTGAAAGATTGGAAACTGTTATTGGTCAATTGACTGGTCACTCATGTGGTTAATGTTAATATCATACAAATATCACAATAATCTTACATTTTCATCATCATCATACTGAACAATCATAATACTTAATCAACTGGCGGTGGATTAGTAAATTGTATGTAATATTATTAGTTTATTGATTATCTATCTCTCTGTTAATTTGTTAATCATTATTATCAGTTAATCATCAAGGTTGTAATGAGTGTGTGTTGTTTTTGTTGTTGTTGTTGTCGTTGTCGTTGTCGTTGTTGGGTTAATGAGAAAGTGTAATTACCTTTGGGCTTAAGCTTTAAATTATTATATCAAATAAATTATCAATGTGAAGATTAATATTAACTAATAATTTAAAGGATTTAAAGTGTCAACTTGAAGATGAAGATGATCAAGAGACACACTGATTAACTGAATTAAAGTATATTATTATTATTATATAAGGAAAAGAAAAGCAATAAGATGATTATATTAGTTACATAAATTGATTAGTTTTCTAATAATTGCAATCAAATTATTTCCAATTTCAAGCTTAATCATCTAATCAATTAATAAATTATCCAGATATTTCACCATGATGAGAGATGATCATCATCATGTTTACATGATAACATTCAAATAAAAGAGATAATTTCAATGAGAATTTAAATTGGAAAATGAAATGAGAAAAAAAAACTTTTCTAACAAAAAGAAACTTCATGATTCGGGTCATCACCTTTAGGTCAATGGTCAGTTTGATGTTCGGACATTATGGTTGATGTTTTTTCTCGTTCTCTGGGTTATAAATATTATGAAAGATTTTGAAGAAAAAGTTTCGCTTCAAATTGAAAGCTACTGATAATATTAGTTCCAGTTGATGATTGACATTTAAAGTGAAAACGGAAGTAAAGTTTAATCATTTAAATTGAACACAATTAAATTTAACTATTCTATTATATGAACAGAGATTTCATATGTACATAATTTTAATTGTCAATTGTTGTTGGCTTCAATTGAGAGCTTGATTAGTTATGGTTATCAAGGATATTTTAATGACAGATTAACAAAAGGGAAAAGGAAATAAACCAAAACATAAAGATAATAATAATCAAATTGATTCACTTAATAGTTGAAATAATTAATAATTTATTGTCATATTTGTATCAATATACCAGTAGAAATGAAATTTACAAAATAACAATCAACACAATCAACATAATCAGCATAATCAATTCAATGACAAAAAAAAGGTCAATCAGTAAAGTTAACATAGTAATGATTAAATTGCTTTTCAGTCCAATCAAGTTAATTGTTACAATTGATTAGTAATCTCATTGATAATACGACAATTAGATGAATTAATATCAATTATGTCAATTGATAAATCTGCTAATGAGTAAAATTAGTTATCACTTTTTGTCTCAATCAATTTGAAGACAATTGATTGTTGAGATTAATCGGAAAAATATTCATACAAAAGGGAGCTAATCATTAATTATAACGGTTAACATTTCCGTTAAATGTTGATATAATAAAAGGAAAAGATGATGATGAGAATCAACAATTTAGATAAACAGTTTGCAAATAATGTTAATCTATTGTATGTTATTGATAATCGTACACAATGAGCACGATCACACGAGAGAGAGAGAGAGAGAGAGATAATCATCTATGGGAAATATGAATAGTGGCCTTAATATCAAACATCAAAATCTATTATGATATTTGATATTAAGACTATGATGATGATTATTATAATAATATCAAAATCTCAGTGTTAACATGAGGGGTAAAAATGAGTTTCCAATGTAATCAAATAGATCGAGAATATCAAAGAGAGAGAGAGAGAGAAACTAATCTAATAAAGTCATACCCCTGAAAGTGTTTCTTTTGCAAATAATTTGACATTCATTGTATTCATTAACCCTCATCATCAACATCATCATTATCGCCGAGCTATAAAACCATATTAAAGCGTATTATTTAACCTTCCCCGTATTTAGATATCAATAACAATTTGAGGTTGGTCCATCATCTCTGTGTATTTAATACCTAATAGTTTCCAAAGTAAATGCTAATATAAATGTCCTACAATTGAACAAAATGCTTTACCATTTGCTCACTTTTTTTTTCTCGCTTTCAGAAGCAAAAAAAAAATCATCTTCATCATTATTAAGATTTAATAGTTTAAATAAAGTCATTGAAGACTGGAAAATATTAGTTACAATGTCAACGGTAACAATTGTCATTGTGGTTTGTGATCATTGATATTATTATTATTATTATACTCTAAAGATCAATGTGATTTCCTTGCGTCAATTCATGTTCCTATGTATGGAAAAAAAATTATGCTCCAAGGAAAGGAAATCGATTGAAGGGTGAAAGGTTACGATTCGATAATAAATTATATTTATAATAATAAAAAAAAACATGAAGTGGTTATTGTTATGTAGTTTGTAACTGATGCTAATGAAGATGATGTTGCTTTTGATGTTGATGATGATAGATAAGTTTTTTTTTTGCCTTTGCTACTTAGTTGGTGTTATATTGGTGATGATAAATGCTGGCACGTTAGCACTGTGATAACAGTGTTAAATCCTACATATAGATTATATTATTGTGTGTATGTGTATAGTAGTAGGGTGATTATGATGATAATGATGATTAGTTATTGTTGATAATGATAAATTACTTGTTACTTTTGTGGCTTGTTACTTTTTGTTGTATTACACTGACTTGTTTCCGTTTCGTTTATCGTTTTTCAAATCATCCTCAGCATCTCTCATAGGCTTTTATTGTTATTTCAAACCCAAATTATCATGTATTATCCGCCCATTTACAGGTTATCCCTTTGTTAACCCTCCTTCCACCCCACTCTGATCATTGATTCCTCTCTCTCTTCATCTTCCCACTCTCCTCCCTCCCTTTGGTTGACTTGTTGATATCTTTATTATCAAATCATATTGTGGTTTATTGTTACATTTTTAGAAACTTTTTTTCCGCTTCTCTCTTTCATCCTTTTTGTTGTATTGTGTCCATTTAATATGTTTGTCCAGTGATCTGGCTTTGATATTTGTCGCTTTCAACAGAGAGAAATGAGCGGCACAAATAGAGGTAGGGAAACCGAGCGATCACCGTCATCATCATCATCATCTCTCTTTCTCTCTCTCTCTCTTTTGATCTTTCTCTGCCTTAATAATGGGTTGTAATCATGGTGATGATAATCATATTAAAATAAACCTTTCATTGATCTTGACTCTGAATAATAATAATGATAACAATATATCAAACCTATTGACCATTGGGCCTTTTTCTTGTTGTAAACATTGTTATTACATTGTTTGTCTCATGTTTTACAACATTTCACTTTTGTTCTGTAATCATTTTGTTGTAAATTATTATCATCATCATTATTGACCAACAACAACAACAATCTAATGACATGAGTTGACCATCCTCTGGTAAATAGACACTGACAAGATTCAAGTGAAAGGGAAGCCATGATGATGTTGATGATGATGATGATGGTCAGTATGAAAAGTAACACATCTACCAACTATTGACCAGGAGCAAAAAAAAGCAACAAAAATTTGATTCTTTCTCTCTGTCAACATATTGACAAAGTCTTTGACTCTAAGAATTGACAAACAAGCAGCATCAACAATATCATCATCACCATCACACTAAAAACATCAACAAAACAATTAAACTTATTTAACACAGAAAAAACAATCTAATCAACAAAATTATGTTTTCTATTTTTGTTTTATTTTCTTAGATTCCAATAAGAATTAAATAATCTTGAATGAACATTGTACACGGAATTGATTAATTGATTTGATGAATTGGGTGGAAAAACAAAAGGTTGATTAACTAACGAACAATAGTTGAGTCCAATGTTGTTGTGAGGTTGAATGGAATGAATAACTGCTCGTCGAAACGAATGTGCTAATCGAGCTCGAGATGATGATGAACTATTTTTTCGCCTCAACTTGCCCGACGATTCACCAATGAAAACTTCATTCGAAGCACTTGGATCCAACATCCAATAGTTTCCTTTTCCGGGATCATCGTAACTTCTTGGCACTTTGATGAAACACTTATTCAAAGATAAATTGTGTCTTATTGAGTTCTGCCAACCCTGTTTATTGGAACGATAAAATGGATAATTTTCGATAATGTAATCATAAATTCCGGATAAGGTCAGTCTTTTCTGAGGGCTACTCTGGATAGCCATGATGATGAGAGCGTTGTAACTGTATTTTGGTTTGGTGGACTTGCTGTTGGTTGTTGTGGTTGATGTTGCTGAGGTAGTTGAGGCTGTGGATATGGTTGATGTGGTTGAAGTTGTTGTTGATGTGCTGATCAATGACTCTATCGCACTGTCATCATCAGTATCATCTATTTCATTGTTAAGCAAATTTCGTATTGAGAATGATGCACTTTTCGATACTTTTGAAATACTTTGGACACTTTGTTGTGTTGACATGATGATGAACAAGATGGAAACTATTTTGTATCACCTTCGATTATCAAATAACCAAATCCCACCTTAGAGAGGGAGAATATCCTTAAACTTGTTTGCGCACAGGAGTTTATCCTCATCAGTAAAAAGAGGAGGAGGAAGTTTCTATTGAGAGAGCGAGAGAGAGAGAATGAGAGAGGTAACAACGCCAATTTGAGGTGGAGACAAACAACAAATCTGATTGTTGGAATTGGTCACCATTGATGATGTTATTTTCTTGCATGTCTCTTTCGATCATATCAATTGTTAACTTATCATTATTATCCAACTATCATAATGATCATAATCATAACCCTTTTATTTTTTTTTGCTTCTTTTATTTCAGTTCAATTTGTAAGGGATAATCTCAATTCATTTCCCTGTTATCATGTTACTCTATCATTTTTATCGTCTCTCTCTCTCTCTCTCTCTCTCTCTCTCTCTCTCTCTTTCTATTTTTCTTCTTCTTAAGTTTTGATTGATTGTTATTCTAGTTACATGATTGTTGGTTCCAAAATAATCATAATCATGACACAAGTCAAATCAAAATTATAATCATCATAATTTCATATTTAATTTTATCACAAGATTTTATTTGGTTAATCTATTTCATTGATAATCTTTACCCTTTTTCTTTGGGATTATTTTCCAATGAGATACTTTTAGTTGAGTTTAATATCAATCATATTTTGCTTGAGTGTTTTATTTTATCAACAATTACGATTGTCATCTTACCGACACACGGAATTGATTGTTTTTAATGAATGATTGAAAAGGATTAAGAACAAGAGATTAAGAAAGCCAGAGACAGAGAGAAAGAGAGAAAGAGAAAGTTAAAGTTGATAAGGTGAAAAAGTGAAAAAGTTACAAAAATGTTTACTTTTTGTTTTTGTTTTTCTATAATCCCAAGAGGATAATCGATCATCATTGTTATTAGAATCATTTTGTTGCTTTTTTCTGGTTAACTGAAACTCTTTTAATTGTATTACTATTACTGGAGTATAAGTATGAGTAAGATGATGGTGATGATTGTTGATGAGACACTTTAGTTAGTTTGTTAAGAATGAAATTAAATCAAGTGTAAATTTTGTTACTCTAATTGTCATAAACTCTCGTCACTCTTACAACTAATATAATGATCGGTTTGATTTATTAGGATAATGAGCAAATTTAATGTCACGAATTTTATTATATTAATAATCATTAGATTATAATTTGATTTAAATTGAATCACAGGTTAGAATTAATTGTTTGTTATTGGTAGTTAATTGATAGAATCCTTTTCTCTCTCCTTCCTCTCTCTCTCTCTCTCTCTCTCTCTCTCTCTATCACTCTCTCGCTCTCATTATCATTGTCGTTAATTTTGTTTATGATACAAATGACCATCTACATATTTTTTTGTCACCACGAGTGTTGATTGTTTGTCTTTCCTTGTTAATCTGTGGTAATAATGATGATGATGGTTGATTAATAGACTGGATTATCTCCTAATAGAGGAAATTGAGAGTCTATTCAATTGAAGTTTAAAAAAAAGTTTTAGGTCAAAATTTTAAAACCACAACAAAATTGTGGTTCCTATTTTTTACTAGAAAACTTTCAATTCAATGTCAACCTTTATGATGATCGAAAGATGATGAAGATGATGATTTAGTCCAAACCATAGACTGTTATCAGGTTTCGTTTTAAAATTGACCGTTTTGAGGATAAAAGAAGATGAAGATGATTGGGATGAGGATGATGAGCAAGATGAAGATGAGGGTGTAAGTGATGATTGATAAAGAAGATGAAGCCAAAAGACTGAAGAGCAGAAGAAAAAATAAATATGGTAGAAAATGGAAGGAAAATGAGAGAAAATCATGTTGGTAGATTATCGATCTCGTAATAATAGTGATTATCATGATTCGAAAAATGATGAGATTGCAATAGTTTCGAAATCGATAAGGAAAAAATTAAACTTGATCGAAATAAAAAGAAGATAAATAATCTGAATGAAAATATTATCATGAGAAGAGATAAGACAGAGAATAGTTACAAGATAGAAGAGAAAGAGAGAGAGAGAGAGAGAGAGAGAGAGATAGGAAGATGATGATGAATAGGAAGAAATAGGAGGTAAGTAAATAAAAGAATTGTAATGATACCAAAAGAAAGAACAAAAGGAGAAGGAGGAGTCAAAATGAATCGAATGTGATAAGTTCGAGTGATTGGTTGTTTCGAAACAAAACCAGCAAAATATTGATTTACTTCCGTTTTCTTTCACTAAAACAGTTCATTGTACATGAAAATCAAATCAACACCTTTAAATCATCATGCAAGAAATAAATTCTTAGCAACTCAATTGAGTCTCATTGTAAGCTCTCAATAAACATTGATACGGTTAATATCTGATTCATAAAGTCACTAATTCAAAATCCATAATTTGCACTCTACAAGGTCATTTATATCTCTTAATTGTAATTATGACCTTTTTGATTTGATCTATAAATAAATGGATTCTATTTACTGTCCATCTCGAGTAAAATGTAATCTGGTCATCAGATCCTCCCACTGATAACCTGTAATTTTATTAATTCATTACTATTGTTGAAACAGTGATAATTGTTTTTCATATCAAATCAATGAATGGATGATATTTATGATATTTATCATGAAAAGTTGGACAACATTGAATTATAATTAATTATATGTTCAATGTCAACTCATTCAATCATCAACATCAGTATCATCCTCATACAAACTTGATAAACAATGGACACAAGTCAAATGTATTGATCCTTGACTTTTAATCAATAATCTAGATCACAATCACAATTAGAATCAGAACCATAATCAACATCAATAAACATTCAATTAAATGTTTTCATTTTATTTACATGGAGCAACTAAAAACATTAACATGATGACAGATTAACTCAAGTTACTATTTCTATGGTCACTGTTTATCATCATCATCATCATTTTCAGCATCTTGATCATCATCTTCTTGATTTCTCCTTCATCCTCATCTTCATCCTTATCCACATTCTTACTATCAACAAGTAATCATGTTTATATTGATTATTAATAAACATTAGACTTAATTGATCATGAAAATAATCAACAATCAACAAAAGTTGTTACATCAATTTGTTAATCTAAAAAAACTGTAACATGTAAATATTTAGATTCTGAGGATTGAATTTATGGTAAATTCATAAGGATAAACAGTCTCAATCTCCTTCATGATTCAATAAGACACAAGACATGAATGTGGATTAAGGCCAATGGAGATGAAGATGATAAACAGAAAAAGAATAAAAGAAATAGAGAGTGAGAGAGAATAAGAAAATAAAAGATTCGATTCTCTCTAATCATATTCATTTATCTATTCGAGTGTAAACATCAACAGTCGACACAAAAATGTCCACAACGTGTCACCCTATTGATACACATTCGACTTTTATTGTTAACCGAAACTCACTTTTACTACATTGGAAAAGAGATGAGAAAATACAATAACCACTTTAAATTTCTTTCTAATTACAATCAATCAATTTATTCATCGTCATGAATCCAAATCCAAATTCACTCACCAAACATCTCAATTATCTCACAATTAAATCTCTACATTTAAATGATTCCATTTATTTATTTATATAATTTCCTGTTTAATGTTAATATTTATAATCTTCACAATTAATATTTGACTCAATCTTAATTGAAAACAATCAAAGATAATTGTTGATCATTGTTATCTCATCATCTCATCATCTCATCATCTTATCATCAGCATCTTCACCATAATCATAATCATAATCAGACATTTTAATAACCAATTTATGTGTAAATATTTTCGTTATTATTTTATTGATACAAATGAAGAAAATGTTGATTCAATTTATTATTTTCTTTCATTGAGAACAATCATTTTTCTTATATTCATCTAACCCTCATTATCTTGAGATTATTTTGGTTACTCTCGGATTACAATTACTCTTTGATAGCCTCAAGCAATCGACTAATATGGAAACAATTGTTTTCATCAATTTGGATCAAGATTATTACCGAATAGTGCAACATCTAAAGAGTACTCGAAACATTAATCCAGCCTGAAAACGAGCGAAGAACAATTGAGTTGAGCCGTTACAAATGAAAATCTCTGAATGAATCGATTCTGATCATCGTATGACATTGAAATGCCCTGTAGAATGACGATGAAGAGAAAAGGTAAATCAATTAACAATCCACTTAGAGAACTAGAAAAGGCCTAAGTTGAACTGTAAAAGTAAGAAACTGATGGAGTTGAAACATTGAAGGAAACTTGAAAATTTTATCAATTACGAGATAAATTAAATTAATTAGAGATTAAATCAACTATATACTAACAAGAGTGAAATAGATTCAGTCAATTAGAGTCTATTTCAAGGTAATGGCGTCCAAAGTTAATTGAGAAACAATAATTATTATCATGACACAATTATCGTTGTTTGATTGTTGTTATTGGATCAAGATGATGCTCGTTTGTGTCAAAATCAATGGAAACATAAATAACTCAATTTAATTGTTAAATTATCATTAGTTAGTCTTTATGATTTGCACATTCAGTTGATTTCTCATGTTGATCTTTTTGCGGTTTTTTCTCTTCTTCTTGTTGTTATTATTTGGCTTGTATTTTGTTAACTTTAATTTGAAAACATAAACAAAATGCTGATAATAAAAAAAGAGATCAAGTTAAACTTGTCACTTTTAATCTGATTGTATTCAAGTTAAATCCAAAGATTATCAATGAGCATCAATGACAACATGCAGACAAAGACAATGATTTACTCTCTCTCTCTCTCTCTCTCTCTCTTTTCTCACTGTGAAACAATAATAATAAAGTTAAACTGAAACTCAGGTAAAGTAACATGTTAATACTCAAGGATTATCCACTTGTAGAGACTCAGTGGGATGTGATCATCACTTTCAATACAATCAAATGGGATAATAAACATCATCTTCATCATCTTCATCTTCATTATCTTTCGTATGATTATCAGTGATGACCAATGATAATCTTCATGTGTGTCTTTGTAACAAATTAATTAAGACATTACTTTACTTTGATTCATCGTATCTATCGGAATGCGTATAAAATTAAATCACTAATCAAAAAACAACGACCAATGGACAACAACAGACAAACATCATCATCATCATCGTCGTCGTCATTGTAACAACAACAACGATCAACGATCAACAATCAACATGGAAATATTTAAACATAAAACTGTCCATAATGTTGACCACCATTAGTGTCAAACAAAGATGAAACTTGTAACCTTAAGCAAGAGGCCAGAAAATAAAGTTATTAATATGTGTGAGTGACCGATCAGGTTGAATGTTATTCTTGTTGTTAATAGTTGGACTTATAAAGGTAGAAAGAAAGAGAAAGAGAGAGAGAGACAATTGAATATATTGAGACATAATATCATCACGATAATAATCATAATACAAACAATTAGATATGGTGTTAGGTTTTCTATAACAATCAATACCATCTAATGCTCAAAACTTAAGAAATGATCAAGACGTAAACTAAACTACAGTAAGAATAAAAAAAATTACTTTATAATATTAATACTTTACACAAATGGATTGGCACACACATATCATCAAAAATTGATGGTTTAACATTTAGAATACAGTTGAAAACA